CCCACGCAGGGTCGACGGCGAGGCCGGGGGCGGCAGGCGGCGCCGCTGTCTCCTCCGGGATCTGACCCTCGTTTCGCATGAGTGGAGCGGAATTAAGACTTAACGCCCTGGAGGAGTAACACAGACTTTGTGTCCCTCGGTATCGTAGTGGTTTTACTTGCAGCCGCACAAGTCGATTCTGTCATGTATTTAAATTTTGTCCTGTGTACTGTTTTTTGTTTTGTTTTGTTTTAAGTAATAAAAACCAGGTTACCTAAGCAAGATCCAGAGGAACTCTAGCATATGTTAGACATGGGAGGGCCTAACGCAAATGAAGTACAGGCTCGATTTAAAGGTGTTCAGACTCACTAAGCTTAAATACGCTACAAGCCAAACAACGCGAGACTGCCAGTTGTCCTCTTACGAAAGGGTAGTTGGAAGTTGGTTTAGATATCTGTGATGATCGTTTGTGATTCTTTATTGTCAGTTCTTTTAAAGTTTCCCATTATTTCCGCCATATCTATTTCAGCTAGTTGCTACTTTGCCTGAGGATGTTCAGCCTGGGCCTGATTTTTATGGGCTGCCGTGGAAGCCTGTGCTTCTTACTGCCTTCTTGGGAATTGTTTCATTTGCCATTTTCTTCTGGAGAACTGTTCTTGCTGTAAGTAAATTAACTTGTGCTGTGACTTATAAATACATCGAATATTTTGTAATCATTGGCCCTTTTGTTTTTCATTTTGTAACAAACAAATTAACGGTTATAGTTCATGCTGATTTTCTGAATTTAACGTAATCTTGGTGTTGGTAGAGACTTAATTAAGAGATCATGATAACCATATCCACTGTTAGTAGACTTGAAGGTTCTTGCAGCCATGCTGAAAAATAGTTTAATAATTATATATAGCACACGCTTTTAAAGAGGGATAAAAACAGGATAGAAAATATCAGTCCCTTTTATATGGTACAATATGTTGGTAATCTATACTGAAGAAATAAATTATGTGTTAAAGATTTTGTACAGGGGTGTTCGATGGAATGGTGTTTAATAGATTGAAAACTTGTCACAACCTAAGTAATCCACATTAGGGAATTTTGTGTTCCATCCCATTTATATCCACATAATTGAGTCTTGGGCTGCTGTGGGAAAAGGGAGGCGGACTGTGAAGTGTTGATAAACTGTGTTATAGAAACACATACATATCACAGGGAAGGAGGCCCCAGAGAAAAACAATAAAAAGGAAGAAACATCTAAGGTGAGGCTAGGCATAGTGATATATGTGTACCTGCAGCCCCAGCATCGAGGGAGGCTGAGGCAGGAGGATTGCAAGTTTGAGCCCAGCCTGGGCAAGTTGGTGACTTAGCAAGAGCCTGTCTCAAAATAAAAAATAACTGGAAGGCTGAGAATATAGCTCAGTGTGAAGGCCCTGGGTTCAGTCCACAGGGCCACAAAAAACAGAAGCAAAACAATGCCTTCTTAAAAAGAAGAGTCCTTTTACCTGGATTCCTGTGAAGAGTTTTCTAATCTCACTGAACTTTTTTCTTGAATAAAAGGAAAGAGCCTAGAAGGGCAAACGGAAGTGTGTGTGTGTGTGTGTGCCCGCGTGTGCGCGCGGTGTGAAAGGGGTGTCCCATTTCCCCTGCTCCTCCCCACGAAGCTGTTCCTCTGCAGGGCTCTTGGGTTCCTAGCTGCTGCTGCTCAGCCTTGCCTGGGTGCTGACAGCTGGCTCCTGCATTCCCTTCTTCCCACTTTACCCTGCTAGTAGCCTGGGTCCTTGGGCCGGGGAAGTCACTTCTGATGGGAGGAGAGGACGTTTGTCCCATGCGGAGTTTGCCACTGTGCTCTGCTGTGGCCACGGGCTGACCAGTGGGCTGGCCTTAGGTCCCCTCACTGTCTGTAACACTCAGAAGGAGAGACAGAGTCCGAATTAGAAAATTTAGCTGCGATATTTAATTAGTTACAGTTTAGGTTTTATGACCCCAGAAGTTGTCTTTGCCCTGGGAAGAACTCGGTCTTTGCCCTCCTGGAAGTTGTTAGCTGTGGTTTCTCTGTGTTCCTCTGACGTCTTCGCACTTCTCAGTTTTACTACTAACTTTTTGTGGTCTGGGGAGAACAGATCATGTAGTTTATTAGATTACTTCTAAGCTGAGCCAGAAGACAACTCGGAGAGGGTTTCTAAGGAGTCTCCCGGTGAGTGGAAGAGGCATAGCTTAGTCAGAGATTATGCCAGTCTTTCCGTACAGTCATTTGTAGACTTCATGCTGGCTGTTTGGGGGTGTCAAGTAAGTAATTTTGAGTTACTAAATTGTTAATGTGCGTGTTACAAAGGTAAATGGCCTTCAATAAGTAAGCCTGGTGCTCACGTGATAGTGGCAGAGGAGCATCTGTGTGGCAGTGAAGTAAGACGCGCACCTTAATGCTGTGTCAGAGGCTGTTTATGAAGTATCGCTAATGGTCTGAAGTGCTTTTCAGTCTTTCTTATCTTTTAATCATATGGGTTTATCCTGAACCAAGCAGTTATTAAATTTTCATTTGGTTATGACTCTGTTGTAACTGTATATTTTTATTAACCCAAACTTTGACATCAAGTTTAATTTTCTTTCCCTTCTAGGTAAAGGAGAGAATATATCAAGGTAAGTCTGGGCGGGCTTGCTGTAGGAACTGTTTCTGCACTTGTGTTTGGGAGGTGCGCTAGGCCGCCAGGAGGTGGGCTGCTCACTAGCGGCTGGCACCAGGTCGCTCCGGCCGTAGAGAGGAGGCTGACGCTGACGGGATGGTGCCTGCTGAGGCGGCCGAGGGGCAGCAGCTGTGGAGGGGAGGCGGTCTGAGGGCCTGGAGCAGACTGATGGTGCGAGTTACTTCATCCCACACGAAATATGAATTTGTGTGGGAAATGTGAGAACAGTAATGTAAATATGCTTGCATTTTCTGTTTATCTTTGCAAGTGGTATATGTTGAAGGTGAGCAGGAGCATGTTTTGTGAAGGGAGGGCTATCAAGCTACATAACATTTTACTGTATTTCCTACCTTTGAAATAAAATTGCCATATCATTGAAAGAAACGTAACTCCATTTTTCTTAATTTTAATACTGTCGTACACATTGTTGCCCTTAGCTTTGGATTTCTTTGGAAAGCCTGATGGCTGCATGAAGCTCTGGTCTTGCAGTGCCATGCAGCGTCTGCTCTCCTGTCCTGCGCCACCCGGTTTCATTTAGTGCTCGTAATAATCTTCTTGCTTTTTCCTCTTTTCAGTCACTGAACAGCAGATTTCTGAAAAGGTGAAGAATACCACAAAGGAAAACACAGAGCTTATACAGAAATTGTCAAATTATGAACAGAAGGTACAGTTACTGTTTTGGGTCTCTCCTGGACTGACTTGTGCTGCGGTGTAGCTCGGTTATCATGGTGTCTTTGAGTCGTGTCTTCTTACTTCAGCATTTCCGGTGAACCCTCCAGCTCTTGGGCATCGTCATGCGTACACAGTACTGCCTTCTCTGTGAGGATCGCCTGTGACTTATAGTCCTTAGTTCTGAATGCTCTGTTTTACGTAGGTCAAGGAATCAAAGAAGCTTGTTCAGGACACCAAGAAAGAAAATATGATTCTCTCTGAGGAAGCAATTAAATATAAGGTAAAAATTCTTCTCTTTTGGGGATTATATTTTAGGAACAAAAGCAAGTGTAGTGACTCTTGCTACTCTTAACATCTTTTCTTCTAGGATAAAATCAAAGTACTTGAAGAAAATAGTGAAATTCTGGGTGCCACAGCTAAAAATCTTCGTGTTATGTTAGAATCTGAGCGAGAACAGAATGTGAAAAATCAAGATTTGGTAAGAGTTTTGCTGCTAAGTGTTACTATAATTTGATTTCTGAACTGTTTGTGAATTAGTGGAATTTTTCCCATGCTGTTAACTAAAGAAGATTAGGAATAACAGGGTTGAACATGTGCCCGTGTTGTGGGGTTTTCAGTTCTAATCCTATAGGATATTTTTTGGGCCTGGGAAGTGTTTTGATCCTCAAGCCTGGATAAGTTTCATATTGCTTTGCTGTGTCCAAGACAGAACTGCCAAGAAACCATGGGCCAGTTGAATAGTCTGTGTACACTGTTTGGTTTTATTTTACAGAGTTGTATTTTTCAGTATACTTTCTATCTTTAGAATAGTTTTAAAATTATATAAAAGTTGTAAACATAATAGGAGGGCTCTCATATTTCCCACTCTTGTTGAGCTGGATCTCCTGCTGAGTTCACACCTGGTGGGTTACCTTTGTGAATCCTTTGCACACCGCACTTTTTAGAAGAAAGCTACCACACACAGCCTGCAGTTAAAGGGTGGAGAATTAGGTTCGCTTGAGGAGCCAGCATCTTCTTAAATATTTTGAAATTCTGCACATGAGATCTGTCTGTCCTCACTGAAATTCTATCATTTTTAATTCAGGCATGAGTATTATTAAAGTGACCTTGGGGAATTTTTGTTTTCTACCACCAGAAAAAAAAAACAGCAAAAAACTACTAACTTTAACTGGTTTACTTGAACTTTTCTTTCAGACTGTGTTGTCTTCGTGGTTACCACAAAGGTTGTGGATGCCATGAAATATTTGGCTTCAGTTATTTTCCCTCATCTCATGAAGCTCTTGATTCTCCCCCTCCCAGGCCAAACTGGGTCCCCTGCTGTTACCTAAAACATAGTGGTAGCTTGGGGTATGTTTGGTGATATTTCTTCCCTTTTTTTTTTAGCGTACATATCATTGTTTCTCCCAAAATCAAATGCATATTTTGTGTTCTGTGTTCCCATGGTAGATACTGGGAAATAGGAAATCTATACAGAAGTTAAAGGATGTTATTTCAATGAATGCCTCAGAATTATCGGAGGTAAGGCTGCCTGCGCTTCCCAGTCTTAGGTTTGTTGAGAACTGTGATTTGATGGACACGCACAATGTGGGTGGCGAGGCGGCCCCTCTCCTTCCTTTGGCACCAGCTCAGAAATAGGCGTGCTCTGCGGTAGGTCCAGATTGCCCTAAATGAAGCCAAGCTCAGTGAAGAGAAGGTGAAGTCTGAGTGCCAGCAGGTCCAGGAGGAAAACGCCAGACTGAAAAAGAAGAAAGAGCAGGTAAACATCCAGTCCGCGGTGACACGTTAGGAAAGCCGGTGTCTTTACTTCATAGTTGTCTTTTCCCAGATCTGCTCTCAGGGTAAGGAGATGCTGTGCAGGGTCCAGCTGTGCTCTGTGCTGAGTGCACATCCGTGCTCCATCTCTCCTGGGTTTTCTGTTCTGTACAATGGATGCCAGCTCTCGGCCTTCGTCTTGTCAGACTCCAGTCATTAACGAGTGGCCTCATCAGGCCATGGGTTGGCTTTTGAACCTCAGAATTAAGGCGTTTATAAGCCTCCTTTGAGCAGTTGCTGCTCAAAGGCCATAGGAAGGTAGAAGATTGGGAATCCGGCCTTAGCACATTCACAGCAGGGCCAGAATTCCCGTCTCAAGTGGGCAGCTCTGGTTTTGAATGTGTTACGTTCCTGCGGCTGAAACCACCTGGTGGAACCTGCATGACTGTCCCATCGGGTGGTGTCTTAGTTACTTTTCTCTTGTTGCTGAGACAATATGCCCAACACCCAGAGTTAAAGGAGAAAGAGGTTATTTAGTTCCTAGTTTTAGGAGTTTCAGTCCATAATCACTGGCTGCACGGCAGGGTGGCACAGGCAGAGGGGCAGTTAGTTCATGGCAGACTGAAGGTAGCAAAGCAGCAAGGGCAGTCTTTCTGCCCCTTTACCCAGAATGCGTAGGGCACCAGCACTCGCGCCCTCGGGCCTAGCGTTGTACCCTAAATCAGTCACACACTCCAATTCAGCCACCTCTGAGAAAGCCCCAGGCTCGGGGGCGGTCTGGACACAGCCGTAACGGGGTATGCGACAGTCCTGCACATGGCACCGGCTCAAGCCAGGGACATGTTGAGCCCCAGCGAGATGCACCTGTCTGTGCCGACTGGCAGTCACTCACTCGAATCACAGGCGTTTGCAGAAGGGTGTGACTGGTGGGGTCAGCTCCCTTGATGGCTCCGAGGGCACTCTCTTAACTCAAGTCCTAGTCTCTGTGACAGACAGGGAGGACCCGCCTTTCTGCCTCCCTGTCCCGCCTGCGCGGCCCTGGTGTCTCTCTGCAATGCCCAGTCCACAGGCATCTGTGTGTCTGACTTCAGCTGGCACGGGAAATTGAAGACTGGAAGATGTCACATGCTAAGCTCAGTGAGCAGATCAAGGCCTTTGAGAATTCTCAGAGGGAACTGGAAGCTGCTCTTGCTCATAAAGATGACAGTGTTGGGGTATGTTTGTCCTGCCCGCTCCGTGCCTACCTCACAAATCCCTGAGGCCTGCTGAGTTGGGTGAGCCTTTTCACGGCCCCTTGCTCCTCTCCTAGGCTCTGACCAATTGCATCACGCAGCTGAATCGATTGGAGTGTACTCCCGAGTCTGAGGGTCCAGGTCCAGGAGGAACCGAGGCAGATGAATTAGCTAACGGAGAAGTGGGAGGTAAGGTCAGCCCTTTGGTGGGTAGACTCCTTTCTGCCTGTGTAGTTGAGGGTGGCCATGAATTTACTATGTAGTCCAGGCTGGCCCCAAATTCATGGCAGTCCTCCCGCCTCAGCCTCCTGAGCATGCTTGTCTTTAATTGTGGACACAGGTGCTACTTCTCAGCTGACTGAGTTTCTGCTTAATCATCACAGGGTTTGTAGATGTGTGGGTGCTGACAGCCACAGGCACACAGAATGCTGTTTTCCACCCCTGAGGCCTGGAGCTGCTGCAGTAGCTGTGTCTGAGGCCTCATAGTACTGGCCACAGGGCCGCAGGAGTGTGTCTTCCCGAACGCAGTGTGGCTGGAGTGGGGCCCCTCGGGGTCTCCTCGCTCAGCGGCGGCCCCATAACATGCTCTCCTAGCGGGACTTCACTCACTGAGCCTTAGTTCTGTCAGTTCTGTCGGTGAATTTGTTTTTCCTTTCAGTGTTTGATGAGCATTAGTTTAGTTTTGGGGAAGTCAGGGAAACAGTTTAAAAAAAGCAAGGGAAGAAAAGGCAACTAAAGCTTCTTGTTTTTTCAGGTGACCAGAGTGAGATAAAAAATCAAATTAAGCAGATGATGGACGTCTCCCGGGTATGGTCCTCTCACAGTGCCCCGTGCACCTACAAGTGCTTCCTGTGCTTCACTTTCAAGCGCGTGCCCCTCTCTCTCGCAATTTCTAGACACAGACCACAATATCAGTGCTCAAGGAGGATCTCAAACTCTTACAAGCCAAGCTGAGAACCTCAATGTCCACCAAGTGTGACCTGGAAGGTGGGCTCCTGGGCGCGGGTGGGGCACAGACTGAGCCGGGCGGGGAGCTGGGCCGGCGCCCTGTCCTCCCGCGATGGTGACACCAGTCCCCTCACAGAGCAGATAAAGAAGCTGGACAAGGACTGCGGCACGCTGCAGTCTGCCAGGACCGGGCTGGAGGAGGAGTGCAGGACATTGCAGCAGAAGGTGGAGATTCTGAATGAGCTGTACCAGCAGAAGGAGATGGCGTTGCAGAAGTAAGGCCCGGCCTGCCGGCCTCATGCGCCGCCTTCCCCGCCAGCAGGGCCTGGGCTGCCACCCCATCCCCTTTTCTGTACCCATGTCCCTGGTGTATGTAGGGCAGGGCAGGGTCCCTTCTCTTCTGCAGATACGGGGAGGGGGCAGCATCACCCTCCGTGACTGGCGTTGTCACAGCTCAGCCACCTGCCCGCCCTCTCTGTCCAACCCCAGCTGTGAGGTTCCGCCAGGCCATCCTTGCTCCAAGTCACCTGCCCTCCCTTCCTTGCACAACTTGGTTGGAAGCCTGTTTGCTCTCCTTCTGGCTTCTGAAGGCACTTTCTGAAGTACAGGCCCGCCCGGTTGTCTCCAGAGGATTTGCTCCATGAGGGCCTGTTTGCTTTCTCTCTCCTCAGTTTCTTGGAATATTTTCAGTCCTGCTTCTGTGTAAGCTTGGTGTAGCCATGGCTTGCTCTCCTCATCTTTTCATAGGGGCTTTGAAGGCCACAGCGTGTTCCCTGCACGAGGGAGTGGGTGCACACTCCTGGGCCTCGCTGCCTTCTGCCCGCCGTGCTGTTGTAGTGACCTGTGCTTATGCTCCACCCTGCAGACTGCAGAGACATCTTACTGTCGTTTGCGGTGGTCCCCTCCGATGTACACTCACTTTATGCATGTATCCTCCCATTCCTGTTCTTCGTTCTACATCACAGGTCTTCTCTGAAATTACTTTCATTCTAAGCCAGACGTGATGCACGCCTGTAATCTCAGCACTTGGGAGGCTGAGGCAGGAGGATTGCTGGGAGTTTGAGGCTAGCCTGAACTACATACCAAGATCCTGTCTGTCTGAAAAAGCCAAAACAACAACAACAACAACAACAACAAAAACAATCAAAAAACACCCCAACTTTCATTCGTCTTGATAAATTTGATTATTTTTGCATGAAAATGTCTTTATTACCTTCTAGCCCATTTTTGAAAGATCTTTAAGCTACTTCTAGAATTACGACGGTCATTCAATTTTAGTGTGCTACAGATGACATTGACTCCTGGGTTCACAGTTCTCTGAGGAATCTATTGTCATTGTTGTGTTCCCTTCCCAAGCGTCCGCTCCCCCGGCTCCTCGTCTTTGCATTCTCAGCAGTTGAGGAGCTGTGCGGGGGCCTTGCTCCTCCTCCCCTCGCACGCCGTGGGCATCTTAAATCTGGGGTCTTTTCTCCAGGGCATCCTGCCTCATTCCCTCCCCTGATTCGGCTGCTGAACAGCGATACTCCCCTCATCCTGGACGTTTCCCGTGCTGTCTGATACGCTTGATCCCACCCTGCCATGTGTCTGCTGCCAAGAGCGCTCGCTGAGCCCCTACGTTCTGTTTTTCTGGTTTCCTCCTTTCTCTGGGCTGGGGACCGAATCCAGGCCTTCAGGCATGCCTACCAGCACTGAGCTGCAGCCCAACCCCTTTATTTTCTTCTGAGAGACGGGGTCCATCTGTATTGCCCAGGCTATCCTTGGACTCCTGGACTCAGTTTTCTCCTGCCTCAGCCTCCTGAGGAGCTGGGCCCACAGGCACCCTGCCATACCAAGCCGTTTCTCAGTTTTATAGCTTCTAATCCTCTGGAAATTCGTACCGGACATTTACACTCTTAATGCATAAGGCACGCTTCCTTTTGAACCTGGGGTGAGCTCATTTTGTGGCTCCCTTGTCTTATCTTTGCCAGGAGTTTTGTTCTCTGAGGGGGCAGTGATGTGTGGGAGCTGTGGAGGAAGTATGAGCCTCGGGCACTGCCGGCTTCCTGTGGGGAAGACCTGAGGCTGTCACTGCCGTGTGGTGTGCGGCACGGCTCCTTCAGACCCGGCTCGGGCACTCGGGGGACTGCCTGCTCCGTACTAGGGCGCGGCACTGTACACGCTCAGCTGAAGCCTGCGGCCTTCAGCAGGCTCCTCGGTGTCCCTCAACTCCACTTCTCTTTTCTTGAAACCCAGGGATTGGCTGAGGGCTGGGTTCGGCCTCCTCACTTCTCTGCATCATCAATGTGTGGTGAAGCCGGGGTGCGGGTCTCTGGGGGACTCACAGGCCCCTCTCCGGCTGGGTCTTCTCGGGAGGCAAAACTCCCCCTTACCACGGCACCTGTCTCAATGGAGAAACAGCTCTTAACATGGCGACACAAGAACAGTGGCTGGTGCCCTTTCCCTGGCAGGAGGAGGCGGCGGGCGTGGCCCTACTTCCTCCTTACCCCTTCCTTGTGCCAGCTTGATCAGGCCCAGGTGGCTTGCTGCTGTGCTGTGCTTTCTTACATTCGTTCGGTTTGCTGGAGAGAGAGTTCCAGGGAGAGGTGGGAGAACACAAGTGATCTGCCAGGAGCCCACAGTGGGGCTTCCGGAGTGGCAGGTGTGAATTCCTTCCTGGGACTCTGGGGGGAAGTGGCATGTGGGCCGAGCCCACCCTTGACAGCCGCCTCTGTCCTAGGAAACTGAGTCAGGAAGAGTATGAGCTGCAGGAGCGAGACCAGCGGATGTCAGCCGCAGACGAGAAGGTGGTGCTGGCCGCAGAGGAAGTCAAAGTGTGCAGGTGAGGCGCCTGCGGCCAGTGCAGCGAGGGCTAAGTTGCTTTGTGAAACTGCATGTTAACACGGAAGAGACTGGCACAGAAGCATAAACCAGTCATCAGAGGATATGAGTGCATCATTTCCCACAGCAGAGCACTTTTAAGTTAACAATGAAAACTTAACAGAAAGGTTCTTAGGCCAAGGCTGGTGCGACTGTCAGGGAGCCCGGCCCCTGCTCTCGGGGGCTGTCCTTGAGTCAGCCTTTAGGGGAGCAGCCTGCTTCTGTCACACAGTGGAATCCTCTGGAGTCACCGTGCCCTGGACAGGACAGGCCCAGCAGTCAGCATGTTGGGTCATTTCCCACGAATACTATTAAAAGAAAAGCCTTTACAGGGCAGGATATCCCTAGCAGGATTACTTGAGAACATTACTGCAGATGATAGAAATAAGGGGATTATGAAGTACTAGTCTTGCTCGTTCTGTACTCATCATGATAGGGAATTTTTTTTGTATGTGTGGTGAAGTCTTCAAAGGTAAAGCCGTTAGAGTCAAGGGAACGTAGTCAGATTGTTTCAAATTTTATTCAGCTTTAACTGATAAAAACCAAATGTCATTTTTAGGCGGAGAATTCAAGAAATGGAGGAAGAACTGCAGAAAACGGAGCGCTCACTTAAAAACCAGGTAAAGACTGTGCTGTGCTCAGTCATAGTGTTCTGTGGTATCTAAGGCGGACAGTTCTGTCACCGCCAGAGGCCACGGCAGAGTCCCTGAGTGAGTTGGCATCTTGTCTTTCAGCTTGCTACTCACGAGAAGAAGGCTCACGAGAACTGGGTGAGAGCTTTTCCTTTCCTTCCCCTTGGGTTTCCTCCAAGGCTTCCCGAGCTGACCTTGAACTCGTCTCCCACAGCTCAAGGCGCGCAATGCAGAAAGGCAGATCACCGAGGAGAGAAGGGAGTCGGCCAACCTGAGGCACAGGTGCGTGGTGGGGGCTGCTCACGGAGCGTTCGCCCTCCAGTCCGGCGCACTGAGGTGTCTCTCTGTGCAGATTACTGGAAATGACCCAGAAGATGGCGATGCGGCAGGACGAGCCTGTGATTGTCAAGCCAATGCCTGGACGACCCGGGGCCCAGAACCCTCCCCAGAGAGGTAGGCTGTGCCTCGGTGCCGGCAGCCCTCCCTGCTCCAAGCGCGGGCCACCGGAAAGTGCAGTGAACGTTGCCTCCGCCGCAGGTCCCCTGAGCCAGAACGGCTCCTTCGGTCCGTCCCCCGTGAGCGTGAGCGGAGGTGATTGCTCCCCGCCCCTGAGCGTGGAGCCCCCCAGCCGGCCGATCTCTGCAACCTCGCGAAGAGACCTCCCCAGGAGTGAATTTGGTGAGTGCAGCTCCCGGTGGGCTTTTCTGCTTTCCTCTTTTCCCTTTCGAGTGTGCTACAGACAGCAGCATTCTAGAGTGTGGGTCTAGCACAGGGGAGGACATTTCCCCGTCTTTTCGGGTGTTTACGACAAGAGGCTGCAGAAGCGGAAGCCCTGTGTCTGCCTCTTCATTTTTTTCTGTGAGGCATGTGTGTCCCTCTCAGGGGTGCGTGTTTGTGATGCGTGATGACTGCACTCATCCTGGGGAGGGGCTGCATCTCCTGTCGCAGCTCAGTCATTTCCCTCCCCTGCCCACCTCCACAGTCCACCCCGTTTTCTTTTGCCTTCTACTCTGCTCTTTAAATTATGTTTGGGACGCGCATACAGGAGAAACCATGTGATATTTCACTTAGCTGTGTGGTCTCCAGGTGCATCCATCTCCCTCCCTCTAAATACATTAAATTTGGCCTCCTCTGTGGCATAGTACTCCATGGTGGGTAAACACATTTTCGTTAGCTGCTCATCTGCCGATGGCTGCAGAGGCCACTCCCGAGGTAGTGCCGTTGGGAGTCGTGTGGAAACGTGGTGAGCAGTTGTCGCTGCAGTGTGATGTGTAAGGCTCTGTCCTGAAGCCCTGGTGCTCCTCTGCTTCGTGTCCTGAGAGCGGCCTTCCATCTTCATGGCTTACGCAGCATGTGTACTTCCCACTTCTCTTACCAGAATACGAGCTGTCTCATTTCTGACTCAGTGTCTGTAGCACACTGACTGGAAGCCGGATTACGTGCACACTGAAAAGAGCCAGTGTTCAGAAGCCTGTCAGGCAGCAGAGCTGTCTACTGACACCAGGGCTTACTGCTGTTCTCTGCTCCGAGGCAGCTCTACTTTCAGATCCAGGACTCTACTGACACCGGGATTCGGGGTCTCGCATAGCTTTCTGGTGAAGAGCTAAACCTTTACCTGCCCCAGCTTTTATGTCTTCTGAAGAGTACAGCCAGGGCCAGCTGCGAGGCCATACCTCGTCCTCAAGTATCTGCCAAGGCCCAGGAAGCCCCCCCGCCTCGCTGGGGGAGCCACGTCATTTCTGAGTTGAAGCAGCAGGTGTGTCCTCCCCTCAGAGTGCACGGCCTGAGTCCGTTCTCTGGCCCCTCACAGATGCTGGACCTGGTCCAGGACCCACGGTGAGCAGCGGCTCCCGAGGCTCCTCCCCTGGGAAGGGCCTGGATGAGGCCAAGGTGAGCCTGCGGGGCAGCCTTTCCCTGTGCGCTCCCCGGGTGCCTCCTGTCCTGTCTGTCCTGTTTGCATACCTCCTGCTCTTTCAAAAAGCAGGCTGCTGCACACGAGCCCGGCGTGAGGCGTGAGCCTGAGCATGCAGCAGCAGTAAGTATGGCAGTTGGGGATGAGGCCGGGCTGGGCGCAGCCACTTAGGCTCCTGGGCGTGTGGAGGCCTCCCCTGTGCTGTGTGCGCGCCTAGCTGACAGTGTGAGCCGAGTCAGAGTGGATTCCTAGAGCTGGGAGCTTGTCCAGGACTTGGTGGGGCAGGGTCTCGCTGTGCAGCTCAGCCTGGCCTGGGACTCAAGTGGACACTGCTGGCCTCAAATAAAAGTGCAGGGATCACGGGCATGCGGCCCCCACACCCAGCTTGCTCTTCGGGAAGTGTGCTGTTAACACTTCGCCACTGTACTGGGCAGACCCCGTCCTGGTGATGGGAAACGCGGCAGAGAGATTTGCTGGAAGTGAGACCAGCCTGGCCAGCCCAGCTGCGCTGTCCCTGAAGCGCCTTCCCACGAGCTGGTGGCCTTCACACTGCACAGCGCTGCCCTGGCACCAGTCAGAACTTGCTGTCCTCACTTCCTGGCCACCCAGGTCCACAGGTGATATTGGCCAGCGTCTCACAGTGCAATGGCACTGGAAGGGGAAGCTCCCTGTTAGCCTCATCTCACTGAGCGTGTAACACAACCAGTGTGCAAAAACCCTTCCGTGTCCTAGTGCAATGCTCTGGGAACACACATCCCTTGGAAGCCTTTTACCGGTCGTGCCACACACACTGTAGAGGATGGTGCTGAGCTCGTGGTGAGGAGGGACATGCACTGGCACATCCTCCCAGCGCGCTCCCCAGCGTATGGCTGGGCTCTAGAGCTCACCGTGCACACACGTGGTGACAGCTGGGGGCAGTGCTTGCTCTGCGGCATCCTTTTAACCGCTGAGCCGCGGGGGACATGGTGGGAGGTTGCTGCACTGACCTCGCTCTCCGGACAGGGGCCTGCTTTCGCCTAGGCTTCGCTTTTCCTGGTGTCAGCAGTGTTCTGTCACCGGATGTAAAGCTGTAACCGCTTCTGTTCTGCAGGTTACTATGGCCGTGAAGGGGCCCCCTGCTTTCCCAGGGCCTCCGTTCATGGGCGGCCCTCTGCCACCACCTGTTGGATACGGGCCGCCGCCACCACTCTGCGGGCCTTACGGACCTCGGCCAATGCCTCCGCCACCTCCACCATTCGGTACGACGCACTGGACAGCACAACTTGTCCTCTCCTGTTGCCCCCACTAGAGCAGTTGCTAATGACTGGCTTGTCCAGAGTGGCCATCTTTCCTCCTGACCCTGTTCAGCAGTTGCTATTCCTGGTTACCACAATACAAGGCGAAGCTGAGCCCATTCCAACCTCCCTAGTTTCCCAACTACACAATCTCCTGACACTGACACAGGTAGTAAAGGGCTCTTCCCGGAAGCGCAAGTATCATTCCCATGAGGACAGGTGGAGTGGGTGGTTAGAGGAGAATCTCTTAGTGACCTCATCGATGTTGCCGTTTCATCGGTGGAGGTGCAAGGCCATATCTGGCAGGGCAGGCTCACTGACACTGGTGGCACGTGACCGGTCTGTGCCCAGCTACTGTATGAACTTGTGACTGACAGATAATAGAAGAATTCCCTTAAAAGGTCATTGTTGCAGTGCAGCTCTCGGTGCATAGTCTGTCATCTCGGTGTGGTAGCCAGCACTTCCACGTGAGATGGCCACAGAGCTGCACCATGAAGAAAACAGGTCCAGAGCCAGGCAGGCCATGTTCAAGTCCTGCCTGCATGCTCTGGGCTGGCTGGCCTCAGGCTGTAGCTTGAACTTGCCTAGCCTAAGTTTCCCTTACCTGTGAAATGGCATGCATCACTCAGCATCCTGGGGATGTGCGAGATCAGACCCTCCCTGAGCTCACTGGGTATCTTGCTTCGCAGTTCCGTGTGTGTACCCGCCACTGGGCCTGAGGGAGTTCGCCCCGGGCGTCCCGCCTGGAAGACGAGACCTGCCTGGCCACCCCTGGGAGTTCTTGCCAGGCCATGCACCATTCAGACCTGCTGGCCCACTCGGCCCTCGAGAGTATTTTCTTCCTGGCCCTGGATTGCCACCACTGCCTTCTGGCCCCCAGGATTACGTGCCGCCGCCTGCCAAAGGAGACCCCAGGGATGAGCCTGCACCTGCCTCTCCACGCAGCAGCCAGGACTCCTCGCAGGCTCTGAGGCAGAGCCAGTGACTCTGACTCCATTCAGAGGGAAATGGATGGCACTGTTCAGATGGCAAAAGTTTCCATCAGCTTTGAAACCCAAAAGTTTAAGACATTTTTAATACTAAGCTGCCTTGGGCAGTATGCATTTTTGAGCCAAACAATTCAAGTCTCATCTTTCCTCTAAAAATCGCCTCAAGTTTGAGCGTCCTTCCAACTTGGAAATGTGCAATAATACCTGTGTTTCAGTTAGTGTAGCATATGTAATTGCAAAATGATTCAGAATGTCATAAAAATGACCATTTCCTGTGGAAATGCTTAAAGAACATGTATTTCCATTGCCCTATTTTAAGAGTACCAGGTGAGTACAGAGCAGTAGTGTTTATGAGCCGGCACCTCTGCCTGCCCGCCACCCCTGTACTGGTCGAAATGACTGTTACGTAAAGATGTTTACTCAACAATCATAACCTTTATCTCCCCTCTCACTGATATCCTTTGTAGTAATAGTTAATAAAAACTTGTTTGTTAATATTTCCAAGTGTCTCTTGGTTCACTGCTTGTTGTGAGACCCGTCGTGACGCTGGCTCCCGGGACCGTAACCTGTCTGGTGACTGCTGCAGCCCTCTGTGCTGCCTGCATGGGTGTTCTGCCTGGCTCACCGTAGGGGAGTGTGAGTTCACAATAGCAACGAGAACTGTTTGACCTCAATTTTTTTTTTTCACCGTGACTGTATTTAGGGGTGTAACAGCAAAATAGAAATGATGTGTCATGACTGTGAAAGCAAATTATTTCTTAAAACCCTAGTCTGTTCTCTGTCCCACATTCTACAAGTGACTTTCAAGGAACATGAACCAAAAATGAGAAGAGCAAAAGTGACTGAGAACTATAAGGCTTCCACCCTACTCCTGGTCAGCAACCTTGGGCTGAACTCCATCCTGTTTAGACAGATACTATTCCAAAATCTCTATTTGGGCATTTGCACCTTTCCTTAAGAATCACAAGTCTAAGAATCTGGAAGTGCACTGCACTTAGTCTTGGACTGTTCCTACTCTGTATTGTTCCTAAGGACAGACTTGCTCCTCAGACACTGAGTATGGTAACTTAACAGCACATTTAAGAGGCTGAGGATCTAGAGTGAGTTAAAATTCTAAAAGGCTCAGCTTTTGCTTACTGCTACGGATGGCATCCTGGAGCCCAGAGCCTGGCCTGTCCCGGCCACGCAGCGCACCATCATGCACCTGCCACAGTACTCAGAGAGATGCAACCTCTCAAGTCAGGGTAGCTCAGTGCCAAAGGAATGAATGAATCTCGCAGGAAAAGAATTCCCTCAACAATGCCTCCATCTAATTAATGTCAAGAAAAGATGACATCTTACGTCATCTGCCATTTCTAACCCGCAAAATAAGACAAAAATCAGGAATACAATCTTGGAATGTCATCTATCAACCTCTTTGGGACACAAAAAGTCAACAAAACTTCTAATTTTAATGAGCACACAAATAAAGACTGCAGGAAGGAAACAGGAATGGTCTTTTTTACTCACGCCCTACATCCTGACTGGTACTTTCACGTCCTGCATCGCAGAACATTGGCCAGAGGTGATCATGCTGAGTAGCCGTCCGGCAGGTCTGCGCCAGGGGAATCTTGGCCTCTCACTTCCACCGACTGCGCCACTCATGGGGCCAAGTACACCTCGGGCAGGCAACCGGGGCACGGCCGGGTGGAGCATCCCGCTTCCCAGCTCTGAAGGTGGCCCCTGTATCAGACGACCGCTCCAGCTGTTTCTGGGTTTCCCTACTGCACTGCCTCGTTCAGGAAGCAGCACTTCCACTGCGGCTATGGTTATTGTCCCCTGGCTGACTTCACTGGAAAGTGAATTTCAGTCACTTGTGGGACGTGGTGTACTCTGTCTACTGCTTCTAGACATGGTCACCTTTTGTCACTTCATTTGGGTCTGAATGCAAGCTCAACTGTTCTAGTCCAGCTTCTTCACTGCCGCTGTAAGGCATGAGCACTTGACACACACTGTGTTCACAGGCAGGACACAGGCTGCCCCAGGTAGCTCGCTCTGGTACGCACATCAAGGAGGACAACACACCCATTCTGCTACATTTTAATAGTAGGTTTCAAAGATTATGTTCAGGACTCCACAGGGTACAGAGTGTTGCCAAGCACCTTGGAAGGGTACACGACACAGAAAGTGGGTCCTCGCCCCCGAGGAGCTCACAGCCTGGGGAACCGGACAACTCCAAAGTTGAAGAACTGAGTGAAAAGAAAGCAATTTATTAAGGCAAATTCTTCATCTCCTAGACCTACTGTGGACCGAATAATTTTAGTATTTGGAATTTATCAGTCAAGTTGAAAGACGGGACTGAATTTGGCTGAGAATTCTTTTAGGCTCGTAGTTTCTGTTAATATTCAGCTAGTAAGCAGGAGTGGCCTAACAGACAACCAGAAGTAGACTAGATCTCCTGAAGTGCAAGGGTTAACACAGCTTCACTGTGGTCACTTACTGAAAAGCAAACATACTGAATGCTATACCTAGGCTATTACACCAGCTAAGTAGAAGCTGGCACTACTCCCTCATGCACTGTTGGTTTAAAACAGTGAATACTGGGCTGGGGATTTAGCTCAGTGGTACCACTGCCTGCCTCAAAAGTGCAAGGACCCGAGTTCGCTCTCTGGTACCAAAAAAAAAAAAAAAAATGTGAACATTAAAATATGTGGGTTCCACATCCAACCCACAGAAAGCCCATCACAAATCTTAATGTCGAGTGTATCAAATATTCACCTCGTGATATGAAAGTTGTTTATGCCTCTTATTAAGTCAAAAGTAATGTAAATGATCAAATTTATAATAAGCTAATGATCTGCATGTTTTCACATGGATGAATGCCAATGTATCTAAACAGGAAATAAAAGACAATCCTATCTACCTATATTAAAAAAATAGAAAGTCTGCCGGTTTTGCATACTCATCACTCTAAGTAAAGGTATTCAGGTTTTAAGGTTTCACAATCAGTTGTCAGAAAAACAGCAGTTACTCCTGCACTATTGCATTAGTGTCAGACTCAATTATTATTAGATGACATGACCTACAAGACATTGTAAACCCATCTAAAAATGTGTTTATTCTGAGATGCTTCCAATGCTAACTCTAAAATCATCAGAAAAAAAAAAAGTGTGATGCAGAACAGCACATCAACAGGACTAAAATATGCTCATTTTCAGAAAAACAATCTGGTCATCTGGAAAAAAACTGCAGCCACCACCTGGGGACACTGTCCCGCCTGGGGACACTGTTCCAGGCCAGGCACACTGTTCTTAGGAGGGGAGCTGTTGGGCCAAGAGAGTCCAGGCCCCTGGGCAGGCCTCTCCACACAGCCAGCCACCAGCCCGCCCACCTGCCCGAGTGAGGCCCACTCCAGCCCAGAGCGCACACGGGGGCAAAAGGGAGCAGAGGAGGAAACCGAGAGGCCCTTCCTGCTGCATGGGGTGTGGAGCTGAGCACACCTCCACAACGGCACTGTTGCAGGAAGCAGAGCAGGGCAGAGGGGATGGAGGAAACAGATTCTTAATTGCACAACTAACAGAAAAAAGCGTGTCCGACACCTACAACAGGCCTTCATCCAAAGGAGTCTTCCGCTCTGCGAAAGCTGTACACAGCTCACTGACCTCGGTGGGCACAGCCCACTCCCTGCTGAGGAAGTGAAGATCCCGCAAGGCGATGGTGCTTGCTTCCGGCTGGTAAGATTCACAGGAGCTCCAGGTTACTCAGGTCAGGATCAGTCCTTGTGCAAAGTTTGATGCAGATGAAGATAAAGTGGTTTCTTGGTCAGTAACTGTAACTTTTTTCTTTTAAAGTCAGTGGGTTTCTTGTAGCTGTAACCGCAACAAGAGAGAGCATTAATATATCTGGGTAACGGACCTACTACCTACTCCAGGGTTACTCCAGGGGTAGACATGGAGCAGCGCCACCTGCACGCCACTTACAGCTCTATTACAATGGGCCCAGGCTTAATCTCGTCCATCTCCATGAAAGCGAAGCACTTGGTGCTGGTGAACCTCTTCTTAGGCTTGTAGTGTTTGAATTCAAAGAAGATAGCTGCCCCTGCAGGATGAGATACACAGACCAGGTGAACTGTGGGAAGAACTTTCTCCTGGATCCATGTGTTTTTCACTGATCACCATGAGCACAGGAGCAGGCACACTGGACAGAGTAACCTGTGTTAATACGGTCAGGTGTGGCAGACTGACTTGACTACGTCAGGTCCTTCTGTAAGCGTTGTCACTAAAAAGAGTATGTAAATGTTAGACACCAAAGGGGAGCATGGAAGACACGACAGGTCACTGTGTACTAGACACAACAGCATTAAAAGAGTTTCACACACTGAAGCTTAGTTCTTCCTCTTCCCCTCAAACACACCTGGAAACTCAGTACTTGTGAGGCTGAGATTCAATCCGCTTAGCTGTGCTGGGTGAGCTGTGAGATGCCCCCAGTCTCCAGTGGCTCCTGCGGTGTTCAAGCTGCTCTAGTATTCCACGGAGATAAAGTCTGTTCACATAGTGCCGTGGGTGGGAACTGGCACCCTGCTCCGAGAACAGTGTAACGTGGGAATATACACCCCTGTGTTGTCCTTTCCCAGTTTCCTGCCAATGAACTCCAAGGGATGGCACTGCCCTCCCAGGACATCCAACCGCTGCTATAGGGCTAGCAACAGACCTCAGGGACCTGCGGGGAGCACGGCCTCCCTGCTTGTCAGTGTGACAGAACTTTCTGCTCTGTTCTAGAAGACAATAAAATCTTACCATCAAAGAATGTTTTGTTATGTTGCAGGGCTAACATACAACAAACTAGACCATACAATCACCAATTCCCAGTTTCACGAAGCGCTCACTGATTTGACTTCCTCAAGTCAGTGTGTCCTGACACCCAGGGACACTGCTCCACCAGGCACGGGGCACACAGACCCAGGATACACCAGCCAGCCACCACGGGCCACGGACGCACACCACATACCTTTGGTCAACTTTTCCACGTGCTTCTGGAGCTCGATGTCCACGTTGAAATGAACATACGTGTCTTCCTTTCTTGAAGCCACCGGTGTATCTTGCACAGGCGTTAAATCTATGCCGTTCAGATCTAGAGAGAAACAAGCTTCTGCTCAGGAGCGTGTGCACATGTGCACTGAAAAGTGCAAAGAAACCACACAGTGGATGGGAGGGCTGGCAGGAGGTCCCCGGTGCACATGGATTTCCACATGGCCACTGGTGCAGAGGAAAATGAATAGGGGGGAGACCTTCTGCAGGGGGAGGAGGCCCTGCCACAGCCAGACAAGCACAGAGCTGGTGGGAGATGCAGTGTGGCCTGTGCAGGTAAGAGGCTCATTCTATTACAGGACAGGCACTACTGCTTTTGTGTGCAATACAAATTTGCAATGTGGCCTCTTCCCCTAATTTCCAATTTGATCATGTGCATGGCTTGGAAAGACCCATCTGAAATTATCAGAATTTTCCTGGTATATTTAAGTCGGAGAACCAAAAATGGACATGACAACTACCATTTTTACTTTCATCAAAAAGTAAAATGTCATATACATCATCTAAGTCATGGCTATAGTTACTATAGCATAGCTGACTTGAAACACCAGACAGATACTAACCTACTGTGTCTGGTTTTACTTCCAAGACCCAAGAGTCCCAGTTAATCAAATTCGACATGGACTCATTTAATGACTGTGTCCATGTCCTGTCCCACAGAACTGTCTTAGGGCACTTAATTTAGTACACTGGATTATCTCAGCTCTTAAAGCTGTGTATCAACTCAGCACGTATGTAACAGCGACTCAGCACCTACTGCACTCTCACTGCGTAGTTCTGTACGTTGCAGTGCACACTTTTGAGCAGGCTACACAGCTTACAAATGGCCACCAAGAATGCAGAGCCACACACTTTCCCAGATCCCACATCCCCTGCGTGGCAGGGCTACAAGTTAGTGCCGCAGCATCAGTGCCCTGGGTCACGGTGTCCTCTCAGTTATTTCCTCTGTGGCTGAACTCCTTTTTATCCTGTGGGTCTGAGTTTATTTCTATGACTGAGAAAAGTTCTTTCCATTTAACTTCAGCCCAGATCTTTCCTTCCAATTTGCCTCAAACTACAGATTAAAGGAATTCACTTGCATTATGCAGTTATTTCTAGGTAATGGAATGACTTCATCCTTAACTGTACTGCTATTGTTACTGTTGTTGTTATTTTTAATTCTAGGACCAGGTCTCACTATATTTCCTAGGCCAGTCTCACACTCTTAGGCTCGAGTGATCATCCTGCCTTTGCTGCCTGACCAGCTGAGATTACTCACTTGGCAACCGATAACTATTTAGTGATTTACAAATAAAACACCTCATATGTTCAACAACAACAAAAGAACTTAACGACTAGTTTCCTTCTTTAAGACTGAAGAAAATGTTTTTAGGGAATAACTCAGCTGCTACACTGGACAGAAGAGAAAACCAAATCCCAACAAGAATCACACTTCCTGCCCATGGTAATGGTGCTTGGTGAAGGATCAGGTCACCAGGACGCCCAGGGGCCACAGCAGGCCAGGTGCTACAGCTGAGCCTGCCTCCCTGTCTCCACTAACCACACTCTGGAGGCCCAGTGCTCACCCCAGAAGGACCAGGGTCAGAAACCTCTCCGGGACAGGGAGACAAGGGCCAAGAGGACAGGACATGGGGAAAGCACATGCCTGGGTAATGTGAACTCTAGTCAGCACCCTAGACAGTCTGGAGAACAGCAAGACAACCAGAGGTGGTGGGAGGGGAAGAAGAAGACAGGAGGGGACAAAAAAACCATGAAGACTTGCTATGCACCTGCACAGACTCCCCACAATGAATGTAGTCAGGATGCACTGCAAAGACGGACCGATAAAGCATACATGGTAAAGAAAAGGCCATAACAATAATTGTAAAAGAACGAAAAGTTATACAGAAAGTTAATCTCAAAAGCAAGGGTATACATTACAGAAAGGAAGACATTTTCAATAAATCTCTCAGAAATGTTTATCGTGATGGAACAATGATTTCTTGCAGGATTTTGCCTTTTTGCAGAATGAATTAAAATGAGCTGTCACAGATACAAGACCGCCTCTCGAAGAAACTGTGGCAAATCAGAAATAATGTGGTAAAAGAGGGAAGAAGGACGGAGCCGTTACCCTTTACGCTGACTGTAATATAGGGGTCGATGCACTGACCGGCGTCTTTCAGCCCAATTTTCTCAATTCTGATGGTGAGCAATGTCATGCCTGGCTCTGACGGCAACCTGGGTAATAAAGTACCTGGCAACAAAGAAGCCACAATGAAAGTCAGCTCCGCCAACAATCTCAGGAGTAAATATTGTTAACAAGCACAGAAATATCTGGCCTTGCTCTTTCACTTAGTAACGAGATAAGCATGATGTATTTTGGCCTCCAAACCTCCATGTGTAGTTGTATTTTATATACCACACCCATGTGCACTTCCGTAACTCATCACTTTAAGGCAGAAATGAATTCAAGCACACTCATGGAAAATTCAAGTTAGGACTTCGAGTCATTCAAACTACCAACAACCACATGACACACAGTTTACACTCATGGAGCCGTCTCAGTCTGCGGGGGGAACGATGGGAATGGTCAGGTAGGTACCCTAAGTAGAGCAGCGCACCCTTCAGCTGCTGCTCAGAAAGGATGCAGCTGCGGTTGGGTATTTATGTATTTAGCCAGGTCACTGTATTCTCACGGCCCACTCCTCCATACCTGCTCGGCTGACTTAGCCTTAAAAGTCCCTGCCACAGAGGGTGTGACAGGAAGCCACAGAGCAGTCTGTATGTGACGCCCAGGCTGCTGCAGGATGCACTCAGGAAAATCCCCATCAACTAGCGGCTATTTTCCACAACACATGGCTAAGTTAGCAAATATATCAAGGTAGTTCACACTAGCAGATCAAAGGAGAAATTTTCATAATCTTTTCAATAGATGCAGAAAAAGTCTTCAATTAAATTTTAAATCCAGTCTTAATTTAAAACATTGTTGGCAATTTTTTGTTTTGTTTTGTTATTTTTTGAGATAAGGCCTCGCTATGTCGTTCAGGCTGGCCTTCAACTCACTGTGTAGCCCAGGGGAACTCCTGGTGATCCTCCTGCCTCAGCCTCCCAGAGTGCTGGGAATTACAGGAGAGTGCTGCCATGACCAGTCTTAGCAATGTTTACAGGAGTCCAGCAAAGGTAAGCTAGCCAGAACCAGGCTGAGAGCTGAGGTGAGAAAGGGCTGCCCACACAGGGAGAGCGTATGCTGGGAGCCACTGTGCACCCTTGAACGGACAGCTTTCCACATGACCTGTAGTCTCTGTCACAACAGCCCCGCCACAGAGAGGTCCCGCGGCCTGTTTTCAGTTTTCATGTCCTCTATTCATGAAATCTACCAAGACTGCCTTTAGAAACATTAACTTCTTTTTCTGGCTTAAGCAAGTAATAACTGACTTAAATATCAGAAATGTGCCAGGGATTTAGTGCAGTGGTGCCTGGCAAGCACAAGGTCTGGAGTTTGATTCCCGGTACCAATCAATCCAACAGAAATACACTGTGTGCTTTATAAGACTACAAGTTTTGAAAAAGAGACTAATATTAAGGAAGCTAAGCTAAGCCTAACAACCTCTTATACTTTTCAAGAAGGGCTGGGTAATTCATTTTTGGTTTGAAATGAGAAGAAACTACTCTTGGTCGTACCACAGCCACATACTATACCTCATCTCTTTAGCTTAACAGGAGAAGTGGCTAGGGTATGTGATTGTCAGAACTTAGCAGCTTCACATGAAATGACGCTTACATATGTAAGCAGCACCTCAGGAAAACTGACTGGGAACGGGCCCACAGCCGGCTTGGAACTCACTACAGTCCTGGCCAGCCTCAAACTCGTGCTGATCCTCAGCCTTAGCTCCTCACCATGATGAGATTATGGGTGTGCATCACCAGGCCTGCTTATACCCACCTGACTTTTCAAAACATTTGTAAAACTTACAATTAATGAATTATAAAAAATACAGATAATAAAAAAATCATAATCTTAGAAACACACTACACAATAATGCAGACATAGCTTAGTCATCACTGAAACCTTGGATTCCCTCAGGGTAACAAAGAAACTTTTCCTACTATATGACTGAGTTAAAAGTTAAATGTCTTCTTGCTATTTTGGCATCATGTTTGCTCTTTTTCTCCATGTTTACCAATGTATCAGTGTTACATGTCACGCTCACTGTGGGGAGCTGGTATATGTACCCAACACGTCTGAATCCTCTTCTCTTCCCCTGCCCTCCCTTCCAGACGTCACTTTCAATGAGTATAATTTTACAAATTTTTTCTCAGTGACACTTACAGCCCTGGATAGCAAACCAAGTACAGCCAAATAAACTACACGTACTGTTTCTTACTCTGAGGGAGGAAAAAAAAAAAAATTCAGGGACTACAAGGTTCAGTGAGCTTCTTGTATCTCTAAATTGAGGTACCAAAATATGGTACCAGAGCACAAACATATAAATTCAGCTTACATTTAACTGTACAGAACCAGTGGATTTAATTCACAACGGGAGGTTTCTCTTCAACTCAGCAACCCAAGCTGCTAAAGACCTTCCCTCTGCATCTCAGGACTCACCTCAGCTGCTTCAAGGGCCTTGTCTGCTATAGAGATATAGCAAGGGAGTAACAACCAAGCAGACAGAAATTTACACAGCTGTAACTGCATGGACTGCATTACACAGTTTGAAAAGGGAGTGGAGATCAGTGAGTTAGGAAAGCGTCACAGTTTATTTATTTCATCACCTCAGCAATCTTGAAATTTCCTACAATAATGACAAAACTAAGAAAAATACAGCTTTCTCTTCATAGACCAAAGAGAGCAGAGTGGGAATGATGGCTGGTACCGAGGAGACATTGTGAACAGGAGCACCTGTCGTTTCCAGTGATCCAATGAGGGAGGTGCCAAGGCAGGGAGCGGCTGTGGACAGTGCCCTCCGAGTGCTGTGTATGTGGCCCTGTTAATCCTCACAGCCAGCCAGGAGTCAGCACTGCCATCTCATTTCATACAGACACAGGTGCCGTCACCCAGGCAGCAACTGCTGGAGGTCAGGCGCAGAGCCGTTATCTGTCTGTCCACACCTATGCTGTTTCCTTTCCAAGTGCTCCTCCCCGAGGAGTATTAGAAATAGTGGACTACCTAGACAAAAATACTGGACAACACACACACTGCACTGAGCCACAGTGTACAGTCTAGTCTAATTGCATGGCAATTTTACAGCACCTTGCTGTACTTCCCAAAGTGAACTTGTTTACTAGCAATAAAAACTACACAGTGCATAAAAACAGAACAAAGTAGAGCGTAACTGGGAGAGAGAAAAATCTACCCAGGATGCCTGCCTGGCTCATTACAGCGAGGGGCAATGCTCACCGAGACCTGTAAGTAAGAAAGGTCGCTTTACTTCTACACAAGACAAGGGAATTGCTCAGCACCTGTCCCCTTGGCCCACACTAAGAAGCTGCAGAGGTGACAGCACCACCCTCTCCAGAGGTTTCCTTCCCACTGCCAACTGTGAGAACTCAGAACCACCAGTACGATGGCGACACACCAAGCCTCAATACACAGGTGGTTTAGCACCCCAACCCTTGCACACTACACTAGGGACACTTGCTTATGACTGGCACAGGCTCTGCAGAGGTCTCCTTCCCTACTCGCGAGAATCCAAAACAAGTTCCAAGTGCCCCAGCGCTGGATTAGGTAACATATTCTCTGTGTGATACCCACCCGGAACTCTAGCAGGAAAGGAATCCGGAGACCCTGCTCCAGCACCACCCTCTTCCTCATCTTCTTCAAATTCCAAATTCTCTTCTTCACCAGGTGCTAAAATTCTTCTACATGAAAAAGGACAGGAAAATTAGTGAGCTGCAACATTTCACGTACTAGTGAAGCTTCACGGCTGCTCATTTCACAAGGCATGATGCTGATTATTAAAAAAAAAAGCTGTATCTTGGTGGCAATGTTGATGTCGCTATCACTGCTACTGATGACACTGGTCATGCTGATGATACCAATCACACATTGCAAGATGATGCCGATCACATTAATCACACCAACACTGACACACAAAAACATAAACTACGAAAAACAGGTATAGAATAGTAAAGTGAAAAGTAACATATGGATGCTTTTAAAAAATTTTACCTTAATGGGACAGGCTGAACATCAAATGGGAATTCTTTATTATATGTAAGAATATTCTTTAGGACTAGAATAAAAAGATAAAGAAATATGAATTCTTCTATGAATAAAAACTAGTATTTTATCTTAAATGGCTAATCTTTAATCGTCTTCACTATGCACATTAATACACTTTTATATTCCCAGCCTATCATTACAGAGCCACTGTGGATTTGTCCATGGAAGGTCTTAGCAAAAATGGGGTACCAGAGAGAGTACTTCTTTCCCACAGTATTCTAATTAAAATCTGAGAGCAAAGATGTGCCATTTGTGAGAGAGATATGGGTACATCTTATTCTGTCTGGAGTAAATGTCCTCTTAACATCATCAGATTGGTAAGGTTTGTACCTGCAAGGTTCTAATCTCACATAATCATACAAATAAAAATGTATATGTAGACATACACAAAGTGGGATCTATCCTCAAGAGAAGTCTTCAGACCACGTGGCAGCACTTCCTGTGTCCTGGCTATGGCTGACCCACGTTTCCATAACCAAATTGGCACACCAGCCCCGAGAGAGATTCCTGAGTTCTACTTCGATCTGGACAAACACTTCAAGTATGTAAGGCACTTGTGGATTCCAGTAACTACCCACAGTTACATCAAGGTGAACTCACGGAATAACGGGCAACCCAAAAGGCTCCCATGATTTTGTACTCAACTTTTCAGCCTTTAATTCTGGAGCGTTGCACTTTGAGCTGAGAGAGGTGTGACATACTGGCATCCCCCAGGAGGCTGCAACTGTAGGGCTTGTTCCATTAGGAGTCACTTTTGTTTATCAAAATTACCTTCTTCCCCTCCTTTCCTTCTAGCAGAACCAGAATGAACACAGGACTTTCATGCTGAGCTGATCTCCAGCCCTTTTTTATTACTATTTTTTATTTTGGGACAGTATCTCACTAAGTTGCCCCAGACTGGGCTCAAATTTGTGATCCTTGGGTCTCGGCCCCAGCCTCCCAGAATACAGAAATTATGGGTGTGTACCACCAAGCCCACCTTTATCCGACTTCTTTTTTATATGGTCTACTAACTCATCCAGTGAGAAGGAAGTTGGAAACTTGTGTCTAGATTCTCATTCATTCACATTGTCTCTTTCTCCCTTCAGACTTCCTTTCTTAACAAATGCATGCTGAGTGCCACAGTGTACCAGAAAGTTTTAGGTACTAAAAACAGAGTGATCAAGAATTCACATCTGGCTGGGGATTTAGCTCAGTGGATCCACCTGCCTGCCTCACAAACACAAGGTCCTGAGTTCAATCCCTAGAGCCCGCCCAAATAGAATTCACATCTGAATATATTTACAGCCTACTTAGGAAGAGCAGACAATAAATATGCTAACAAATAAGATAACATATGACTGGGATTAGTGTTATGAAGGACACAAGCAGGATGTGGCGTAATGCAGCAGTGTGAACCGTGGGTGGTGCACCAAGGTGGACAGGATAATCCTTTCAAAACTAAACTGTTAAGGATGAGAAGAAGGCTAGGCACGGTGGCACATGCCTGTGATCCCAGCATTAGGGAGGCTGAGGTAGGAGGATTGCAGGGAATTTAAAGCCAGCCTGGGCTACATAGTGAGTTCAAGTCCAGTCTGGACTACATAGAGAGACCCTGTCTCAAAAACAAATAAACAAACAAAACAAAACAACAACAACAACAACAAAAAAGAGATAAGAATTGTCCACACATAGCTCTAAGTGAAGCAGAACAGTCTACAGCAGCAAAGTCTCTGAGAAGGAAACAGTGGGGCATGTTTGAGGACTGGAATGGCTGACAGAGGCAGAAGACGAAAGTAGCAGTGCAAATCTAACCCTGCCCCAAACATCCACATAACCATTCTGAACCTCAGGTTCCCCAATTCTGAAACGGGAACGCCACTCCTTTCATAGACCGCTAAGAGAATTTACATTGAAAATACCACGTAAGCGGAAGCCCACACTGACACATGGTAACTCATTTGCTCCATGGCTCCCTATGTAGCTGCCTCAAATCCTCCTATTCCATATAATATCTTTTCTAAACTCATTGCATGTCATTAGTAATAAACTAACTTGGCTCAGTAAATACCACTTCACAGCACTACATATAAGGCACTAACCAGGAGGGTAACAGAAAGACCACAAGTCATGCATATCGGATGCAAAGCAGAAATGATCATGTTTTAATAATAAAATAGGAAAATCCCTCTAAAATATGTCTAAAATAACATCCATTTTCTAAAATTGGAAACTATATAAATTATCTTGCATATGTATAGAAGAATTAAACAATATTTTCTTTTCTTAGGTATCAATCTTTGAAAAGGAAATGTCAGCTCTGGCATAGCAGCAGCCTCTTATTTTGTTCTTACAAGTTAGATATACCCAATGTCTACTTTATAGGAACTGCTCTAGGAGAAAAAAGAGGCAGGAGGGGCTTCCATTTTCACCAGCTGAGGAGTAACAGATTCTAATGTCCTTTTAACACGGGGCTCTGCCTGAAATTCTCAGAGGTTTCCTTCCACCCATTCCAGCACCAAAGTTTAGGAAGACGTAGAGAAGAGATGAGAAGAGAAGAGAAGACTGTTTGTGACCTCAAAGAGGCTTGGTCAAGGGCTGGTGCCCGCTGGCTCAGCCCCCGACACTCACTTGCATGGCCCATGAGGTTCTCTGCGAGGGGTCACGCAGCACACTCAGAGTGCAGGCTGCCACTCCCCTGCTGCTCACACTCTCAAAATGACGCACACGCTAACATCAAAAAGTCTTCTGCTTTTGTGGCTGACGCGCTTTGTTATTGTGGTAGGCAAATTGGGCAGCTGACTCCATTCTCTACGGCTGTTTTTCAAATTATGGGAGAAGATTCCCCAAGACACTCCCATCTATTCAACTCAACACAAACTTGCCACGTTCTGACTAAGCACCGAGTGGGCCTGTGGGGATATACAACGGTCATCCCGATCTGAGGAATGAAACAAATACATGAGTGTAAGAACAGGGCAGACCGATTCTAGATATAAGCAGAGAACACAGAGTTTAGTTACAGCTAGAGAAAGCAGGGAAAACTTTCAGGGGAAGGAAGGATTTCTGTGGAGCCTTGAAAGGTAAACTAACAGAAGGGTATTTCACAGGGTGGGGTGGGAAGATAAGCGTGAGAAAGAAGTAGTACTTTCACAGTCATCGTGTTAGTGTAAGTTTCAGACAGTAGTTTCAAGAGATTTGCAAAGTATGCAAGCTAAGTCCAACATATTGTAAATTACATTCATTAATTTTCCTTAGAAGAAGCTTGACTGACGAGTGTGGTAGTATACAACTGTAATCCCAGCACTTGGGAGGCAGAGGCAGGAGAATCACCAAAAGTTCAAGGCCAGCCCAAACTACACAATGAGACTCTGTCTCAAAAAATAAAAAGAAGAGGTTTGACCAAGGACAAGCTGTATTAAGCCCACTTAAACCGAAACATAGCCGAGTATCAATTTCAGAAGAGCTCTAACCCTTGATAATTATCTCAACCAGTGCTCAGCTCGGGTGAACTCAGAATCACACACACAAGACGATCACAGACTTATTTCCACCTTCCACTAACACATGATTGATTGTCTCTCTGGAGCACAAGTGGGGAATAACAACTCGGTCTGTGTCAGGGCCGGCCCCGTGTATGCACACAGTGCAGGGTCCAGGCCGCAGGTCCATGAGCTGCAGCTGGAGGCTTTTGCTCATCTGAGTGATGCTGGAGTATTACTCGGAAACAGCAAGAGCTAGTGAGAAACTGCGATTAAATTAAGAAGCCAAAATCCTGGGCTGGGGATGCAGCTCAGCAGTGCCGCATCTGCCTCGCAAGCATAAGGTCCCGAGTTTGATCCCTGGTACTACACACAAAAAAGAAATCCTACCATAATAATTTTATCATTAAAAATTGAATGGGATACTTTTCTTTACAATCATTATTTGACAGATACCCTAACTCCCTAACTATAGTTGTAATCTTTTATTTAATGCCATAAATGTTTTCTTTCATCAAAATGATCTTTTAACACAGCCAGTCCCCAGAGATGATCCAGGATCCCACTCTCAGGAAATGCCTACAACAGGCAAATTAAGCAGTGCTTGCCCAGGGCTAGGAAAGGCTGGGCTGGGATGGGGAGAAAGGAGTGGCCACTATGGACACAGGGCTCCTTTCAGGTGAAGAAAATGTCCTGAAATCAACTGGGGTGGGGTAGGGGGTGGGAACTGTCAGTGTGCTAAGAAACACTGAAATGTACACTTTAAATTGGTGAATTTTATGGTAGAAAAATTACATATCAATAAAGAGGTTATAAAAATAATCCTACCCAAATCTGTTAATGAGTTTTTAAAAGCTAAAAATATGGTCATTAAAAATAAAAATTTGTGTTAAGTTTTATATCATTTGATTGGCATCCCTATATACTTTGGACACAGGTGAGAACCATTTCTGAATATAAAATTTTGTCTCTTGGAACAGAAAGTTTATGATGTAGGGCCAGCAAAGTAGTTCAGTGGTCGAGTATTTGCCTAGCATGCTGTGGCCATGCGTATAATCACCAGCACCACACACACACAAAAAGTATGATCTGGATTACATAAAGTAACCAAAACTATTAAAATGACATAGTTCATCAAAATTCTTGCCATTTTCAGGAGGACAACATTCTGAAAAGATGAAACACAATCACCTAATAATTGTGGAAAAGCCACGGGAATCACAACAAATCTGCTATGTGTTTTTGTTTGTTACTTCTGTCTACCAACACAAGTAACAGAAAACCCCTTTAGTACAGCCACAGAGCCCCCTCTTGCCTTGGACCTGCAATCACAATTACATTTCTGCTACCTCAACAATAGATGTCTTTATCAGACTTGCTACAAATGAAAGAGAAACTGGCAGTTTGTGAAATTTTTATGAACATTCTCCTTAACCCTTAAATGCTGTCTTTTAACTCCTATCCAGGCAAGGAAACATCAAAAGGACTGCAGCAGTGTGACGAAGCTGGGCTGTCCAGCGTCCTGAGACTCAGGCCTGCCTGCTCCTCAGGGTCAGAGTGAAATTGGACCTTCAACTACAAAGAAAGTATGAGAGCCTCAGCTAAGGCTCTTTCTGATCATAAATGCCAAGACTGTATGATTCACTACTTAGAAAGGTGACTTAAAAATGGATAAACTCTCCTACCCCCTATTTACATAAACAGAAGGTGGGTAACCTTGTCTCAGTGGAAGGGGAGTATTTCAACTTTCATTCACTGAGCCTTCTATTCTGCTCCACTTGAATTGCAGACATTTCTCTGAAGAGGGCATTCATCTGAACCAGGAAACTGACTTTATTTGGCAGGACCCTAGGCACCAAAATATTTGAAGGAACTGTTTACTTCAAAAAGTCTTAAAGTCGGGAAAAAGCGATACAGCAAGGAAGTATTTTATAGCTCAACCCAACAGCTGTACTGCAGCACTCAGCTGATCAATGACTGTCCCTGCGCGACCCTGTACTCAAAGTCCTATGAAAGCCATCCAGACTAAGCAAGGCTTGAAGACATCTAGATGGAGTACAACCAAACATACTCTGCAGTGGAGATGCAATCCAAACAATAGGCACTATGAATACTGCAGGAATTTTAAAAGGGTGGAAAAGATCACAGAGGACTAAATATTAAGGGGATAAATCTGATCAGCATGTGTGCTAAGGAATGTTAATGCTGGTAACAGATAAAGTACTTTTTTAAAAAAGGAATATCACTGGAAACATGTAAAAACTTACTTGGTTCCAGCTTCTTCAGGTCCTCCAGTTTAAATTCTTCTTGGGACTGTGCGGACTAAATTCAAAATATGTATATTATACCTCTGATTACAAAGATTTCAATGTGTTTTTTAAATAGCAAGAACCAAATATTCAAAATGAAACCTATTTCTTGTGTTCAAATAACAACATAAAAAGTCCCAAAATGGTTTTTGTTTGTTTTTACATTCTTAGAACATTCAGGCTAAAAGTAATAGAAAAATTTAAAGTCCTATCTTTTATTTCTATAGCTTACAAAATGTGAACTAAATAATTCGACTCTCAACTGATAAATTTCTATTGCTATAAAATACTTCTGAAACAACACTGCTTTTGGCATGAATACGTAATATGTCTTGTCAGATACTTTCTCTTGCATTAGAAAGGGGAAAAACTACTTACCTGTAAAGCTGCACTTCGCAATTCTAAGCATGCTGCAATTTTGCCTATGGTTTTCTGTCAGAAAAAAAAATGCTATAAATTATAATTGTCAGTTGTTACAATCAAGTTAATATTTCACTGGTGAGAGATATAGCCAGGCACCATGACAGCTTGTGGCTGTAGTCCCAGCACCCTGAAGGGTGAGCAGTAATATCACTTGGGCTGTTTGAGGCCACCCTGGGACCTACAAAACAGCAAGATCCAATTTTAAAAATTAAAAGGTTGAGGAGAACAGCCCAGTTTCAGAGCACATGCCTAAATGTGATCCCCTGGGTTCAATCTCCAGCACCCCCCCCAAAAAAAAAGAAAGAAAAAGAAAAAAAAAGAGATCCATAATTTTCTTAAATTAGTTAAATTATGTTTCTTTTTATCATCTTGCAGACTTAAGAAAAAGGGAGGCAAAGGAGATGAAGGAAAGCGAGTAGGTATTCCCTGCTAACCTAACATGCCACAACCAATTCTAAATCAAGCCTGCTTTGTGACAGCGTTAGCTATGATTTAAAGGGCACTGAAAACAGTCATTATGAAAACTGGTATGGAGGTTCTTCAAAACATTAAAAACAGAACTTCCCATATGATCCTGACCCCAACCTGCTTAATCCAGAGCTGCGGGCAATGCAGCCAGTGGGCTCCAGGACTGCTATCACAACAGCCTAGAGATGAATCAGCCTAGTCGGCCCCCAGCGACAGATCAATGGAGAAAGAAATTGAAGTTTGTGCACACAGTGGAATATTACTCAGCCATACAAAGCAAGCCTGTCATTCACCACCACCGGGACAAAACTGGAGAGGATTATGCCAAGTGAAGTAAACCAAGCGTAGAACACAGTGCCCTACCTCATTCGTGCAGAACACATAAAAAGTTGAACTCATACAAGCTGAGAGCAGCACAGGGGCCACCTGAGGCAGGAAAGAGGCGCATCATCCTGCTGCAAAAAGGTTCAAGAAACTCATAAATGTATTCACCTCTTAAACATCTATTGTGTAGAGAGCAGCAGTAGCCTTTACTAGACAGGATGGAACAATCCCAAATCACTGTTGCTTAGGTATACCACTCAGCTCTGACCAAGCTAGTAAAGAGCTGTAAGTAATAATAATAACAATAGCAATGAGTGACTACAAAGTGGCAGCCCTCCTAAGTGATTTATAAACATTCTTTCGGTGGTCTTCCCTAGAACCCTGTGAGTCCAACACCACTTACACGTGTGCAAACCGAACACAGAGAGGTTAAGTCACATGCCCGGGCAACAGTCCTACACAACACAGCTCCACACACACACATACAATAAGGCCACTGGGCTGTACCTGCTGTGTTCTCCTAGTAAGAACCATGTCTGCTCTGGGATGTATGAATGGGTTAGTCTTTAAAAACAGTAAACTTCTCTTCCTTCCTTACTACAAAATCCATTTGATTTTGTTCTTTTAACATTTAAGATAAACGTGTTGCAAATTAATAACTATGAGGTCACCGGTAAACTATTTTAAATTCAAACATTTCTTCAAGCTAAGCAGAAGCAACAACTTTTTAACAGAAATGAACTAAACTATGGCAAAATACCAATAGGCATTATTCATAACTATTTTAAGGGGCCACACCCGAGCTCAGTATTAAAAAAGAGCGAAACACTATTCTAGTCAGCTGTGGCAATAACTTTTAATATATGTAGACTTCACTGATGTCAAAATCAAATGCCTGCTCTGAAATAGTTTCACCTTTTGTAGGATGGTTCAGAAACTGATTAAGAAGCAGTTGCATATAGGAGTGGAAGTACTGACAATTAACATGCCTTAACACTAAGCACTGAAGGTAAAGGACGGTTAATTTTAGGAAGACTCCAAGAAAGTTCAAGGAAAAGAGAGAATGAAAATGACAATTAAAAGGCTAATTTGGCTAAAATGTACCCAATTTATATAAGGAAAAAGATCCACTTAAAAATATATAAAAAGAACCACAGTTTCACTTAATACAGGCTTAATTTTTTCATATTTAAACAGCCAGTCATCTTGTCTAGCTGGGGGAAAGGAAGAGGGAAAATGAGGTGTGGCAGACTGGGGACCCCATAAAACATTAACACAAGCCTCTAGTGCCAAGATTATTACCATCAAATCTGACTCAAAACCGGGAAAAACTTTCTAAGCATCATGAGACAGGAAGTGCTTTTCTGTCCAGAAATTTACATGAGAAAATCTATTACACCAAGGCAGGAACTCAATGGAATGGAAGCTTCTGGCAGCTTTTTGCTGCTACTGAACCCAGTTTTTATAATGACAGAACTACTGAGAACTGAAACGAAAGCTAAGTGACTAATCATGAGGAGATGAAATAAGAATCTGTTTATTTTAAACCAGAAATGTTTTGAAATAGTAAGAATAAAAAAAATACAACTGAAGGGACTAGGGATTTAGCTCAGTGGTTCCACCGCCTGCTTTGCAAGTGCCAGGTCCCGAGCTCCATCCCCGGAACAAAAAAAAAAAAAAAAAAAA